GTCTTGGAAAGATGACTTAAACCTTTAGTGTGTTGTGATACTGGTAAATGCAAAGAGGTTCTGAGAAACACATTGCTTGGCCAGGTTTCTTTTGAAGGCATAGTAGTGTGTACTTAAAAGCAAGTATGTCTGCATGGTGTTTCAGCTTCTTTTCTTACGCTCTAGTTCAGCAGAGCACAAAGATACGAGAGTGAAGACCTGAAAAGGAAATGGATTTTTTTTTTTTACTTTCTGATCAGGCATGATATAAGTAAACATTTTGAATTAAAAATATCTAAATCCCCCAAGCAGCTATTATTTTCTGGAGTGCCTCTGTTGCAATTTCATTTTTCCTTAACCCAGCAGGCAGCTAAACGCCACACAGCCATTCGCTTACTACCCCCCCGCCAGTGGGATGGGGGAAAGAATCGGGAAAAAAGGTAAAACTCCTGGGTTGAGATAAAGACAATTTAGTAGGACAGAAAAGGAAGGGAAAATAACAGTAATGATAAAATAATATGCAAAATAAGTGATGCACAATGCAATTGCTCACCACCTGCTGACCGATGCCCAGCCAGTTCCCAAGGAGTGGCCCTACCCTCCAGCCAACCTCCCCTGGTTTTTTTGTTCAGCATGACATCGTATGGTATGGAATAGCCCTTTGGCCAGTTTGGGTCAGCTGTCCTGGCTGTGTTCCCTCCCAGCTTCTTGTGCACCTGGCAGAGCATGAGAAGCTGAAAAAGTCCTTGACTAATGTAAACACTACTTAGCTACAGCTAAAACATCAGTGTGTTAGCAGAATTATTTTCATCCTAAATCCAAAACACAGCACTATGTCAGCTACTAGGAAGAAAATTAACTCTATCCCAGCCGAAACCAGGACAAGCCGTTGTTTCAGAGTTAGCTTCTTGTAGGCTTCATTTTTATGAGGATACATATTAGGTTTTCAGTTGTGCTTCTGGGAAGGAAAAAGATAAACTCTTTGAAGGTAGAGGTGAATGACTGAGTATTAGGAAAAAGACTGTTTTCTAACTGTAACTTTGTGATTTATACTATTATTTGGGGGCATTGCTGTCTATTAACGTTATCAGGTAGTGCCCATTTCCTATGAGACTGTGGTAATGTTTTGACCGTGGCGTTGTTCTTGCATTAACCCCCAACCACTCTTTCTGTTTTCTACTAATGTGCATCTGTTACCTTGTGTAGCCATCCACCTGCAGTGGCTTTGGTCTGAAGCCATTGCACTGAGTCTATTACCCATTGCGTACATACTTTGGATTTAATTGGGAGTTAATTGTGTGACAGATGCACGTTAAGTAGGGGTCACAAAAAGTGTTTTGAGTGTGCATATGTAAGAGCGCTGAGTGAATATATTCAACTGCACACTCTCGCTTGTGTCCTGCTGTCACTAGCTCACTAGAAGGGCTTTGCAGAAGATAAAATCAAAGGTGTTCTCTCTTAAAATTTCAGTCCGCTTGGATGACAAAAAGAAAAGAAAATGCCTTGTTGCATTTTTCAGTATCTGTTTCCAAAAATGGTGAGAAAAATAGTAGATTGTGAAATGCAGTTTGAGTTTTCATTTGCAATGATGTTTCTTAATGAACACTGTTGCATTCCTAGGACCTTTCCCAAAGGTCTGTAGGAGATGTTTGAGTGTACTGTATGCAGAATTGCTTTCCCATTCTGTTTCTCTGGAGAGCTTGCTTGGTACCTTCTCGCTGAAGACTCCCCTTTGTTTATGCGACTTGCTCAGCCTCTCTGAGTGGGATCTATCACAAAGTGTATCCATCTAAATCAGTACTGCTGTATTCCCTCCTCCTCAGCGCTAATGATCATCCAGTCCCATGCAGATCCGATGGAGCTCGCTAATCCAGAAAAAAACCCAAAACAACAACAAAAAGAATTTAACTCTTTTAGTAGGTTGACCTTCCGTCAGGTTACCAAGTTGGACTGGCTCACCTCAGGACCAAATATCAGGCTAGCTGTGCTGACCTGATGGAGGCAGAGGGAGGGTTTGTGCCTACCAGGGAGGGTGGCAAAATTGCAGCAGTTTCCCTTCACTCACACTGGCTTAAACTTATTGCAATGCTGCATGCCCTCAGTTCCTTTGTGCCAGCTTGGGTAAACAATCATCTATAAGGTACAGCAACCATTTTACTTGCTGGTACGCTTTTCATCTGTCACTCTGTCTTCCGACAGTGCTTCTTTTAGGTTAATGCTGTAAAGTTTTGTGAAGATAACCATATATGCTCTGCCACTGGCATTTTGAGCTGTGCCTTCAAATGGTACATGATTGGTTTTGGTGTTTATGCTTATTGAACTGAAAATAGACACCATTAGAGTAGCTGATCAGCTGACCGGTCTGTTCATCAAACAGAAGATCTTTGGAGTAGTGCTCTTTAAAAAAAACAACAGATATATGTCTGAATGAACAAGTTCTTTTCATAACGTGTACTTTTACTACATGTTGCTGCACACGTTACTGTACTTTCAAAAGAGCTCGGTTGTTCATGGACTTGCAGCAATATAGCAGCCCTAATGTTAGTACTAGCTTTTAGTACATACTCAGTTCAGAAACTCTTGAAGTGTAAAGAGTATTGAGGTTTGGAATTGCCACTGCTTACAACTGTTGTTGCATATAAAAAGCTGTTGTTTAAAAAAACAAACAAACAAAAAAACCAAACTGTCCATTTTTTTATATCCTGACTTAACACTTTTTACATAATTTTGAAAGAATTTGAGTGTTGGCAAAATGTTCCTCTGGCACCTCTCAATGGGGAAGAAAGGATGTTTTATAGTCATTATAGTATTGGGTTTGAGCTTTGAGTTCAGCTCATCCTTATTTTAAGTGATATATTGGATCTCAGTGTAGCCTTAGTGAAGAGTAGTACCAGGATATAGAGCTAGTCTTTGAAGTGTGTTTAGAGGAATACTGGAGATGTTTTGATTTAGCTGTACAATTAAGATTTTGTTAAAGCCTATGTAAAATAACTTCATTTGGGAATTAGCATTCATAAAGGTTTAAAGAAATAGTAAAAGGAAAAAACTGTGCGACTTTCTGACTATAGATAAAAACTGGTCTGATGTTTTCTAAGTACATACCTTTTCTTTCTCAACAACTGTTGGGTGTAATGAGAGGAAGAAAGAGAAAGTGGAACAATTAATGCACCATATGTACAAAACAAAAAAAACAGTCTGTAGGTGTTATACTGAACAAGAATTTGGTTTAGTCTCATCTATCTTTTTTTATGTAGATAGCATTTACTCATTTGTATTGCATTTTGAAAGACTTGTACCCAGTAATGAATACTTGCTGTTCATTGCTGTTGTTTTTTCTTTTAAGCTAAAAATATATATGTATTAGGTCTTTGTATCTTTTGGAAACCCTTCCTTTCTTGCGGAAAGTATTATATGTTTCTGCACAGTTTAACCCTATATATGTATATGGGTGATTTGAAATCCATCCATTATCAAGCAACAAAATTACACTACATCTTAATGATTTGGGGTTGTTTCTTTTCTAGAAGAAATAAGCAGCTTCCCCTTCAAATCTTGCTAGGACAGCAGCTGCAGATGAGAATGAGCTTCCATATTTAATACATTCTATTAACTTCACACATACAAATGCACACTCGCTCACTCACGCACCCCAGTGTCACATTATAGGTGAACAGGCCCTAATTAAAAGCACGCACCATCTGCCGGTGTGCGGCAGCAGGGTGGCACTCCATAACCATCCTGATTCCTGAGATTGAAATGTATTATTTATGAGCTTAAAGAGAAAATATGCTGCTTGGCTGGAGGAGGCTGCATTAGGAGCTGGATAGCACCATCTAACGGTACAGAGTGCCTCTGGCTATTCATCTTTCCTGTTCTTCCTCTCCCCTCCTCAGTCTCCTCCCCCAATATTTTTATTTTTCAACATTGTCTTTGGAGTTTTTTTATGATTGTCTTTCAGACAATTTTGTGTCTCGTGTTTCACTTTTATACAAGATTGAAAACAGTTGTTGAAATATTACACTATTTGTGGTGTTTGCAGCAGCCTTTTTTTTTCCTTCCAGCACCACAGATAGGGTTTTACTTTCTGCAGTAAAAATGATACTGATGTGATGTGGTGGTAGAGAAGTGGGACATTATCAAGATAGCTGAGCAGGATCAGTTTACTGCCATTTCTCCTTCCCCTCCCAAGCATGCATATAGTGAAAGTATCTACTGCTCAACTTGAAAATTTTATTTTAATATTGAAATTGGCCCTATTTTTTATTGAGCAGTACACTACAGACTGCATGAAGGTTCTTTACTTGGTTGAAAAGAAAGGGGAGAGATTCAGAGATAGCTGCAGCTTTGGACCTTCCTCTCTGAAAGCAGAGATTATAACCTCTTCCTAGTTGCAGAGATTGTGTCCCATTATTGCTTCTTAGTAGGGAAATGGATGAGGAGGTGTTGGACTGAGGGGTGAAAGATACTTTGTCAGGAGACGAAAGGGGTGACAGGGAAGGAGCCCTTTTTGTTATGGTTGGTCTATCAGTCTACCTTTGTTGACTGCTAGATTACAAAGTCAGAACTAGTAAGAATGCATAATGTATTTAATGGTTAGCTCAATGACCTTTAGTGTATGAAGAATAGGAATAGTCACACTGATTCAAAATAATTTGGGGGATGATTTTTTGGTTCTTAGGCTTTTTGTTATGTTCTTGAGCTTTGCAGTACCCGTGCCGCACATCCAACAGTATGTTTGCAGCAATAACAGGCAGTTAGGACTGGACTGATGTGAAATGTGAAATTTTTCTACAATAACTTCCAGTAAAAACACTTTTTTTTTTAATTAAAGAATCTGGCCACTGTTTCAACTCAGGCAAGACAAGATGCTGAATAAAAAGATATATGTATAAAACTGGGCAAAATACATGTGTGTGTGTATGTATATTTATTTTTAAAAATCAGCGTGTTTTAAAGAATGTTGAAATGTCGTAAACTGTGGCACATCTATAAATACACATTGTCTTATTGTTTGTGTTTAGAACGTATGCCATCAGAAGGATAAGAGATGCCTTCAGAGAAAACAAGAATATAAAGGATTCTGAAAAAATAGAAGAACTAGTGAATAAAGCCAAAGCAAACCTAGAGGTTATTCATCGGCAGGTATGTTTATTTCTCTCATTTTATCTAAGAGTTGTACACTACTCAGTCTTATGCCACTACAGATGGAAAAAAAATAGATCCTTGCTCAAAACATTTCTGGATGAACACTAGTTTTCGTTATGTCTGAGTTTGAGAGGGTGGGAAACATCCATTTATCCGTGATGGCTGCAATAGGGGATTTAGGGATGCTTGTTCCATTAACCGGAACAGGCCTTGGTGTCAAAAGTTTATATGCTCTTTCATTACCTTTTCTGCTGTTTATTTTACTATCTCTTCACTCTGCTTCTCTATTCTGCCCTAATTTTCCTTTGAATCTGTTTCCTCTAGCTCATGTGTATTAGAATCCTTTCCTCACGCTTTCCTCCCACCATAGGTTTAGAAGAGTGGCTGTGGCACTCACTCCGAACAGTGTTGCCTTCTGTGCTCGTTTTTCCCCACTTCCACAGTGTTAGAACAGTGGCAGAACAAGAAAATCCTGAAGTGAATTAAGTAAATGCTGGCTAAATGTGTCCATGCAGGGTGATAGATTTTTCTTTGGAAAAAGTTGAGTCACTGGCAATATTTTTCTCTGACCTTGTCTAAGCAGCATTTATAGCATCTCTGTTCCTTCCACTGAGTACCTTATTATTTAGACAGGAATTCTACTTCATTGAACTTTAGATACTTCATTACTTCTCACACATGCCCACTGTCTATCTAGAGTGACCACTGGAAATTTGAAGAAAGAAAGCTTCTATGCCTGAACTCTCTAAGGGCAATTGCAATGCTTAACCTGTCCCTCCTTGCAAAATCTGCACTTGCTGACACCAGTCAGAGCTCAGTAGTACTTTTATTAAATAATGAATGAATGTGTGCGCCTGTTCCTCCATGGTCTGTTTTAACATGAATCTTTTAACAACCAGCAGGTCAGTTAGCTAGATTCTCATTTCAGTAGGAAGCTGGGCCCTTTGATTTGGCAATTAAGTATGAATATTTTGGTGCAAGTTAAATTATTTCTTTGGAATTTCTTCTCCCAGGAACAGGTGTTGTTTTGTGCTACCATAGCTTTGCTATCTTTTTTTAACCCAAACACTGCTATTTTTGTATTTTAAAAGTATTTCTTGAAGAAGAAATTCAGATTGGATTGATTCAATGCAATTATATTTAAATGTTAGGGTGTTTTTTCTCATATCTGTAGGTGATGAGTAGCATTTTCAGCTCTTCTGTTTGAGGTATTATCTTGGAGAGCCTTGATATCCAAGTATTAGAGGCTGGAGAAGAAAATGAAGGAGGGGGTGTTGAAGGAGAAGACTCAGAGATCACTCAGGCAGATCTGAGCTAGTAGTTAGTTTATTGAGTTCTAATCAGTAAATTTAGGTATGTAAAATAATAAGTACAGATGGATTAGTGGTCAATACTCTGCTATTTATAGAATCATAGAATCGTTTAGGTTGGAAAAGACCTTTAAGATCATGCAGTCCAACCATTAACCTAACATTACCAAGTCCACCACTAAACCAATTAATGGCTTGGTGGCTGGGTTATTTATAATGAAAGTAAAAACTAGGAATCATTAAGGTTGGAAAGGACCTCTAAGATCATCAGTCCAACCATCAACCCAACACCACCATGCCCACTAAACCATGTCCCAACGTGCCACGTCTACCCGTTTTTTGAACACTTCCAAGGATGGTGACTCCACCACCTCTCTGGGCAGCCTGTTCCAATGCTTGACTACCCTTTCTTTTTAAGAAATTTTTCCTAATATCCAATCTAAACCTCCCCTGGCGCAGCTTGAGCCCATTTCCTCTTGTCCTATCACTAACTACTTGGGAGAAGAGACCAACACTACAACCTCCTTTCAGGTAGTTGTAGAGAGCGATAAGGTCTCCCCTCAGCCTCCTCTTCTCTAGGCTAAACAACACTACACTTAAAGTTAGTATGGGATACAAAGATTATCGCTTACGCTTACTATACATATCTTAAATGTTACATGCATGCAAAAAATGTCACTTACCAACCCATCCAGGTCTGGTCTCAGGTAAGGGATCTCTCAGCCTCAAGGGGAACCTTGAGAGGCGTCCCTACTCAAGGGAAGATCACTGCCATGCAGCCAGCTGATATGGAGGGAGAGCTCAATGGACCCTGATGGCTGCAGATATTTATAGCGCGAAGTGGTTGATTTCTAGTGAGATTTTCTGCTGTGTTAATGTAGTTTTGGCTGCTTATCAGCCCAGTCTCCAGCCAAACCAGGTTTTTTTGGGTTTGGTGCTGAGTTCTCACTGGTAGCTTCACACAATATAACTTTGGTTAGTCCTACTTGCTGAGCATCTGCCTGGACCAAAGTTCATTTAGTTCAAACAGGGGGAGTGCATCCGTCGGGGGTGGGGTGGGGGGTGGGGTGGGGCAAAAGATAAGAATGCACGGGGTCAAATTCTGCCACTTACAGAAATCTGCATCAAAGAAGTAACAATTTGTGGACATGGAATCTCCCATAGTAAAATGCTACAGAAAATTTCTTCTAGATTGTGGCTAAGATAAATTCCTGTCAGCATGTCAGAAAATGTTCTGTGATGGTTGTAATTAAGAATGTAAACTTTATATCTTTGATAAATCAGGAGAACATTAGTGACGTTATCACAATAACTGTTTTGCCATGAAATGGATGACTGAAGTGTACTAAATTTATTTTTGTTTTAAAATATCTTAACTAGGACCTACTTGGCACAAGTCTTTTATAATAGCAAGTACTTCCTTTTTCTGAAGAGTTCAATTTCAGGGTATCAAAGCACTTGAAATAGGTGGGAAATATTGTTCCTGCTTTATAGATATGTGTCTGGGATGGTGAAATGAGAACATTAATGTGTAGTACCTTAATGTTTCGGGTACCCTGACTTGATGTGGGTAGGATTTGGCTCTTGCTGGTTCTATGAGCCTAAATAATAAAAGGCAGTTCTGTGTGAGATGGTGGGTAAGTCCTGCTAAAATAAAAGCTTTCCAGCTCTTCTTATGACAAAACATGGTTCTACTGACTCATCTGAGCCATAATAGGTCTGGGACTTTTTAAAATAAAACTCCTCTCTCCTGTCTGAGTCCTGTGAACACCCAGACTACCTTGTTACTGTAGACCCTGAAAAAAAGATACCATTCCTCTAAAACAGACTTTTGACAGGGCAGACTCTTTGCCTTATGGGGTGTGGGTCTTGTCTTGCACCTTTTATGAAGTCTTCTTTTAGCCTAAAGATTGTCCCTTGGCATCAGATAGGTCTTTCAGCTGCCTTGAAAAAAGCAGGATGAGCAGGCAAGCTTGGTTAATCTCTGCCTGGTATACTCACTCACTGTCCTTTATAAAGGAGTAGTTGGGCTTAAGGACATTTTATGTTCATTGGTTGCTAGTGAGCATTTTGATTACACATAAACATACATATGTGCCTGTACATACACAGTATCTCTAACAAGCCTGTGCATGAACAACAGGTAACTTTCATATACCGGCCTGTATTTTGCACTGGTAAAAATGTTGTACGTTTAATTCTTCATTCAATAAAATGACAGCAATAAAAGGTCAGACAAGATTTTTTATTTTCTCCTAGCATGGATTCTGCTTTTTTCATTGCACCAACAGAACCTTTTTAATCTGCTAGGGGTTTTTGTTCCATTTTGCTACTTTGTAGTAATGGCAAAAATTTTATGAGAAGTCTTTCTTGACTCAAGACTGACATAAGTCATTGAGAGCCACATTTTGCTCTACCATGTAATACATAAATCTTGCTTTAAAATTTTTTATATGTAGGTGTGAATTTTTCAGCTGGGGAGATGTTCAGAAGCAAAAAGGGCATGCAGGATTCTAGTTCCCTGGAATAGCACTGCTTGAATTTTCAGAATATGAAAATCTCTCCACGTATGTTTTATTTTTGCAAACATAGAAAACTAGTGTTTAATACAGATATCTTAAATATATTATAATCAAACTGTTGTCAAGCAAATGACGTTAAGTACTTATCTTTCTGTTACGTATTTTTTAGTTGGAGGGTATCTTTGTCACTGGGACGTACCAGAATAATGCAGAATGGCCTCAGTTATTGCTAAACCTGCAGGGCTTTGCATGTGTCTTTGTTGTTTCAAATCCCAGCTATTTAAGGGGTTTCTCCCACATGCAAAACCAATCTGCTAAAGCTAAAGTAGTTTTAAATCAGATCACATTTTGGTATCATTCCATGTAAGAATTTCAGGAAAAATATACTTGAAAAGTAAGGAATATCGAAAAGTCTGACACAATTTCCCATTTTTAACACTGCTAAAACAGTGAAACTTACAGTGAAATATCTTTTATATGTCAGACTTCTAGAAATTTTGCAGACAAAGTATGCTGCATTCACTTTTGGAAGGGTGTATATGTTTATCTTATACAAGATATGTTTGCAAGAGTAACAGTAACACATGTAGTAACATAATAGGCAATGGAACTTTTTAACAGAAGATAATCTGATAAAAGAAAATTAGTTTATCAAGATAATTTTTTGACACGAGTCCCTGCAAGACTTGATATTTCAGTAATAGGTATTATTTTTTTCTGAGTCACCCCCCGCAAAAAAAAAGTTATTCTAAAAAACTGAGAACTGTTGTTCTTTGCAGAATTTCTATTATGTTTTAGTGTCATCTTACTTTCAGCTGTAAAGCAAGAGATAAATATTGGAAAAATAGCAACACTGTCTTAAAAGTAAGCTTTTCATCAGGACTGTTAAAAACCTTAGCATCTAAATTCATATTAATATTTACTCGCTGTCAAATTTAATCATGCTCTGTGGAAAAAAAAATTCATTATTGCTCTCTGTTTAATTGAAGATCTAAGTAATGAAGTCATCTGACATTATTAAGACTTTATATTTAAAACTAACCAAGCATAATATAAAGTGATTTTATTTTTAAATGCAGAAGCACTGAAGCAAACATGAGAACTAGTGTACATTTTTTTGCTAAGTTTGGGCTTTATTATGATGTAGCGCATCTTAGTATTGCTGACTTTTTCATAGTGTGTCGATAGAAATTAAATAATATCCCACTTTGCTGACAATCTGTTGTTACTCTAAAATCAAATTTATGTTCACTTTACATTCTAATTTATGGTTTAGTCATCAAAGTGACCATTGAAGTGTAGAGGTTCATAAATAAGTGTTTGAATCAGCCTAGTGGGAAATGTGAAATAGTGACAGATTACTGTCATTTTGTTCATGTCAGTCAGTGTACAATTTGCTTGAATGTTAGAAAAGTAGCTTTATAAAGCTGAAAAGCATGGAGGAACATTAATCTCTGCCTTCGTCCTCCTCTGCTTGTTATTGGTTTTTATTTAAAATTAGTCTGGCTAAAGGAAGGAACAACTCTTAACATTCTTTTCTCAACACTGTTTGTGAAGATTTTTTGTGTGTGTGTTTACTGTGTAAACAGCACAATTTGTGGTGTCTTCCCTGTAAAGGGCGGCATTGTGAGAAATGCATTGTCACAAGTAAGTTTGAAATAGAAACTTTTTAAAAGTTTTGAGGCTAAGTCTTGAGGTCCTTTGAGGATTACTGTAACAGCCATTCCCCAGCTATGCTAATATGACTTCATTTGTGAGTTTCCGTTGCTATTGGAATATGCTAGCGGTAGGAGAATTTGCCCTGAAATGTTACTGCTGTTGCTGAGATTCAAGATTTATAGAAGCTACTTTGAAGACAGGATAATCCTGAGTGTTTTGAAGTATCCACTAGTTTTCTTTGTGGCATGCTCTCTCAAGTTTTAAACTGAAAATATGGAAGTGAAATTCAAAAGCTGTGTTAGACCTGTGTGCTCTGATTAAATCTCTATTTTAATTTATAGGACATCTCATTCTTATGTATTCCTCCACAGTACTTTCTCCTCAGTTTTAGATTGTAGCTGGAAACTACCAGTCATCTTGTTGTCCAGCTAAGAAGGATTATTTTGGTTTTCCTGGCAGTTCTGAAGGCTTTAGTATCAATTGTACTGTTTTTGACATCACACAACTACAGTACTCTTCAGTAAAACAGTTTTGATATTTCACAGCCTTTCTTTGTCCCATTAAGTAATGCAAACTGAGGAAAATCATGGTTTGCACAAGCCTTTAGCAGGGAGACAAGAGATGCACTGGAGTGCTTAGACAGTCAGGATGTGTGGATCTGCTTCCTTTACAGCTGGCTGGTCATCAGCGTTTTCTAAGGGAACAGATTAATTTTTTCTTTGAGTCTGAGTAGTTCTTCCTCAGGCTTGACCTCTCTTACTGTTCCCTTCAGATGTGTAGAAGAATGAAGGAACACGGTTTTGAAGTATGAGAACTCTATTAAAAAGGTTCCACTGATAATGATAAATATGGAGCACCTGCAGCATTTTTCATGTTTGTAGCATGTTGTAAGTACATTCTAATCCTCGCAATATTCATTGATTATAGTAAGTTTAGCTCCATTTCTTTTAATGAAGTGTTTCATGACTATGACTTGATAAAAGCCTGTGTCATAGTGTGAGATTTCAGTCTCATATTCTTGTGTTTCTCCATATTTGCCATTTCTAGTAAAAATTATTAGTATGGTCTTGTTTTGAAATTTGTGTAAAATAACAGTTCTTCTGGGTCTTTTTTTTTTTTTAGCAAGCCAAGTTGCCAGTGCAGCTGTGTGTAGCCAAGTACTGCACCTTCTTGAGGCATTCATTAGCAGTATCTCATCTTAGCAATATCATAGATTCAAGTAACGGTTGAATGGAAGTGGGAGATGATACTGAATGAATGTACTAATAGAGCACTCATATTATTGCAAGCTGGTAATAATACAACCACAGCATAAGGAAGCATATTTCCGTTAATCAAAATAGTATAAATATTAAAGCATGTTTAATAAATATTAGCAAGACAAGCAATTTCAATTATAGTTACTCTAAAAAACAAAAGGTAGAAGTACCTTAGTTTACTGCACCTGCTTTGGATTTTATTGGTCATCCTTTGTGGGTTTATCAGCAAATACTCCCATTGTTTTCCATAGTTCAGTTCTAGTAATCCTGTGATTAATTTGCAGCAATAGCAGGTAAATTAGTAAATGCCAAGGTGTATATATTTCTGGACTGCAAGCATATTGTTGAGTATTCAGGGGACTGGTACCAATTTACACAGTTGTGAGTGATGTTGGAATTGACTGTCTCAAGGAACTTCTCAACCTTCAAGGAATATTCTGTGTATCAGAAGATACCTGTGTTTATACTGCAAAGCACTGTAGGCTGGGTGCCCTCAGCAGGAGAAGGTTCATTATGAAAATCCTTATTAGTAGTTTTAGTTTCAGGCTACAAGTCATCTTTCTGTCTAATTTTTATGAATAAGTAAGAAAGTTGAAAAATAATGTATAATGTATTTGATTATGTTAGGTGCAGTTTTGAAGCCAAGAGGAAAGAATAGCTGGAAAAGCTCTTTAAGCACTCTGATTACAGGGTGCAGCACCCATACTACTGTTCAGGAATGTATATGATATTGGCAAATCACGTTTTCCTGCTGGCAGCCAGCTCTCATATGGTTTCCTCTTATCAAGTTTGTCACTGCAAGGAAGTTTTAAAATCACATATTAATTTACTGCTTTTCTTGAGAAGCTCCTTGTAATTTTTTTTTCAGCTTCACGATGACAAATACCTATTTTTCTACAAAAAATTTATAGACTTACAGTTCTTACCTAAGAGGAGTGTCCTTGGAAGTTTGCTGCTTTTTTACTAGTGTCATATATTTCTATTTATTACAGTTGTGCCTACACGTTCCAACCAGGATAGAGCCAACATTATGCCCAGAGAGAACTATTCCTACCTCTCAAGCCATTTAGTTTGTTAAAGCAAGTGTAGACGCAGGAGTTTTCAAATGCCTCTTTCACAGAAGAAGAGCAGGAGGTGAATGGCATAATCATAGAATCATAGAATCATTTACGATCTTGGAAAAGACCTTTAAGATCATGCAGTCCAACCATTAACCTAACATTACCAAGTCCACCACTAAACCAATTAAGGGTAGAGTAGCAATTTCATGTTTCCTGGCTTGGTGGCTGGATTATTTATAATGAAAGTAAAAACTAGGAATCATTAAGATTGGAAAGGACCTCTAAGATCATCAGTCCAACCATCAACCCAACACCACCATGCCCACTAAACCATGTCCCAGAGTGCCACATCTACCCGTTTTTTGAACACTTCCAAGGATGGTGACTCCACCACCTCTCTGGGCAGCCTGTTCCAATGCTTGACTACCCTTTCTTTTTAAGAAATTTTTCCTAATATCCAATCTAAATCTCCCCTGGCGCAGCTTGAGCCCATTTCCTCTTGTCCTATCACTAACTACTTGGGAGAAAAGACCAACACCCACCTCACTACAACCTCCTTTCAGGTAGTTGTAGAGAGCAATAAGGTCTCCCCTGAGCCTCCTCTTCGCCAGGCTAAACAAACCCAGTTCCCTCAGCTGCTTCTCATAAGACTTGTTCTCTAGACCCTTCACCAGCTTTGTTGCCCTTCTCTGGACATGCTCCAGCACCTCAATGCCTTTCTTGTATTGAGGGGCCCAAAACTGGACACAGTATTCCAGGTGCGGCCTCACCAGTGCTGAATAATGGGGGACAATCACTTCCTTAGTCCTGCTGGCCACGCAGTTCCTGATACAAGCCAGGATGCTGTTGGCCTTCTTGGCCACCTGGGCACACTGCTGGCTCATGTTCAGCCGGATGTCAACCAGCACCCCCAGGTCCTTTTTGGCCAGGCAGCTTCCCAGCCACTCTTCCCCAAGCCTGTAGCATTGCATGGGGTTGTTGTGACCCAAGTACAGGACCCAGCATTTGGCCTTGTTAAACCTCATACAG